GAGGGAGGGAGGAAGGAAGGAAGGAAGGAAGGAAGGAAGGAAGGAGGAAGGAAAAGAGGAAAGGAAGGACTGCAGGTAGGCAGGCGAGTGGGCAGCCTGGGTGGCTGTATAATTCCACAAGTCAAACACAGAGGGAACTGAGTTTGTTATACTCAACTCTGCAGTAGATCTATTTTAAAAGTTTAGCAATAGAGTCACCATGGAATAATGAAGAAATCAGTGGGCCACAATCATCAGTTGAAACCTTTACCTGAAAACAGGGGAACTTCTCTATGAAAAATGCTGCCTCTCAGCTTGAGATAGAACAGGCTATGTTACATGTGTGCTCTTCAATTAAGAATGAAAAGTGACACCTCTGAGAGTGCCACCATTCTTTGTCTGCAAGCATTGGAGGCAATCTCATGTCTACAGAGATAAAGAGAATTCTGGTCTTCTGAAAGCTCCATATTAGTTGTAAAGATGAAAATATTAAAGAGAGGCAACATTTATTGAGCTTTTATTATGTGTGAGGCATTGTTATTTTTCTACTGAGCCACAGTTTCCTTTATTCTGACTATTTATTGGTCCTTGCTCTGCTTCCTGGATCCAGGATTAGGAAAGTGTCTATGAACAATACCTTCCAGGGTTTTACAATAAACAACCTGTAGATTTCTTTACAGTGGTCCTAACTGGAGCAGCAAAATACATCTGTACCCCAATCTACTGGCCTCTTTCCTAAGGGAAAATACTTACTGGGGCCTCCACTTCATTCTGATGGATCCTTGCTACCCTGCTGAGACTCTTCCCCACTCAAGGCTACCTGCCTTGCATTTGAATGGCTTGAGGGCATCTGAGATTTCAAGAATAACAACTGAAAGTCTTTCAGTATAACATTAAATACAGATTTTTAGATTTAAAATATAGTACAAGATCCACATTTTCCCCCTTTGGTACTAGGGATTGACCCCCCAGGGATGCTTAACCACTGATCTCCATCCCCAGTCCTGTTAAAAATATTTATTTAGAGACAGGGTCTCCCTGTTACTTAGTACCAAGTTGCTGAGACTGGCTTTGAACTCCCAATCCTCCTGCCATAGCCTCCCAAGCCACTTGGATTTCAGGCATATGCCAGCACACCTGGCTAAGGTCCACATTTTACATAGAGGGATGCTGAGACTCAGAAGAGTGAAACCTGAGGAATAAAACATTTTAGGGATCTGTTTTAATTAGAATTCAATGAACATTGTAAATGACTGTTATGAAATAGTCACCCTCAAGCCCCAACTAAGCCTATCTAACTTTTCTCAGTGTATCAAGAACAGTGTTTGAGGCTGGACCAACAAGCTTTGAAGAGTATTTTTCTTTTATTTCACTGTTAGTTCTAAAAGAAGAACATTACAATAAATTCTAAAAAAAATATAATTGCTAATGTCTATATACTAACATAATTGACCTTGGGTAAGTTAAACTCTTTTAGTTGCCATTTTTTATATAAAATGGTGATAGTAATAGCTACTTCAATATTCTGAGAATTCAGTGAGATTCCCCTAAGTCCTTAGCTATGCCAGGCACATTAGGTGCTCACTAAATTTTACCAACATTAAACCATCCTTTTTCTCCTCTAACCTCTGTGTCTCTCAGTAGTATTTCCTCTCCTCTACTCTGTTTCTTTCTCCTTATTTCTATTCCCTTTTCTCTCATCCCTTTTACATTTTCTTCAGTTCCTTTCACCCTCTATATCCTTCCCTTAAGCTTCTTGTTTCTATTTTTTCATATCCCTGTTTCTCTAGGTCATACTCTGACATGAAATTAAAGGCCACTTAAAAAGTGGACCTAGGTGTTGTTTCAAGTTGCTAAATTTGTGATCTTCTAGGTAGCAATGGAAAATGTGTACACACACACACACACACACACACACACATACACATCATTCTAGGAATCCTGGGAACATTATATAAAACTTTCCTGCGGATGCTAAATTATGCCCAAAATAAAGTGAGAGTGTAGGCTTTCAGTACAGGTAAAGTGAGAAGTAACTTTTTCTGAAAATAGAACAGACTTCGAACTGAGCTGTGGTCTCAGTGGTTGTCCCAGAAAAGAGATGGGGGGGGGGGAAGAACATAATATTTGGAGCCAGAGGAACTGGGTTCCAGGTTGTACTTCCTAGCTTTGTGACTTTGGGGTTCTTTTTAAGCTCTCTGTTCTCCAGTTGTCTCATTGGTACACTGCATGTATCTCAGGAAGCCTAATGGCAAGATTAAATGAAAGGAAGGTGGGAAGGAGCTAAGTAAAATGTGAAGTCCTCAAAATCATTGTTATCTGCAGAGCCAAACATTTAGCAGAATGCTGAACCTGAGCCACAAGTCTGTGGCAGCCAGGAGTGACAACTGTGGTAGGCAGAATTCTAAGATGACCCCACATCCTTGTCTAATTCCTTACTTCCACCAATAATGCTAGAGATGGCCTGTTTTATAGTTGGTTATCAGTATTTTTTTGTGCTTACACATATATCATTTGGGGCTATTTTCCAAGGGGAAAAATAAAGGTATATTTCTTTGCTTTCCTTTGCATTTATTTGATTAACAGTTAGATGAAACTTTCAATAAATATTACCAGTCATTTATTTTTTGCCTTCTAGAATTTGAGAGCATGACATATCTTTGAAAATAAGAACATTTTGGAAAGAACATTAGGTTTTTCTTTCAGAGAAAAATAGGTATACTTCCATGCTTTGAAGAATGATTTTTATGTCTATACTTGTATCTGAATCATAAACATGCCCTCTGTGCAGCTTGAAGTCCCTAGATTGCCAGGGACCAATATTGATATGTCATCCTGGGGAAGAGCTATCACATGACATCCTCCACTTGGCAATGCAGCTATGACATTTTACAGAACAGTGCATTTATTAAACCCATCCACAGCACAAAAGCAAAGTGTAGAAGCAGGCAGAAAGGATGGCTGCTTGCCAGTTTCCTGACAAGTGACACAATTTAATCTCCTAGCCCTGAACACAATCATTTCTATGCCTAGACAGGATGAAAGAAAAGGTTTGTTGTTTTTTTTCCTTTAACTTCATTACTTCATTTATTAGTTCCCTGTTTATAGCTAAGGTTAGTTCTGCCTTTATATAAGCTAAAATAACACACGTTCATTTCAAACGAGAATAATATTAACTATCGTGAAGTTTGACTATAATGATAAGGTGAAAATTCACCTATTACTGTTTCAAGAATGCATACCAGTATACAAGCCACAATATTGAACTTCTGAGTCTCCTTTGGTAATGTATTCATTTATTATTTCATTAATGTGTGTCCATGAATTCCCTAGTGATTTAAAAATAAAAATATGAGAAAAAGGAAGGAAAAACAGATCAAAAGACACAAAGAAGGAAACAGGAG